AAAGAACACCAAAAGAACCAACTCTTCAAGCTCACACACTCAACTTGGGAAAGAATGCCCAAAAACTAGGGTTTCTTGATAGATGAGCCATTTAGGCAGGCCATTCATGGGACTTAAGGCCTTTAAATAGGGTGCAACACCCTAAAAATTAGGGTTTCATAATCAGCCACCAACTCGTCGAGTTTGCCTCTCCAACTCATCGAGTTGGTCCAAAAAGATGCGTTGCCCAAGGCCTTTCAACACGTCAAGTTGAGGCCATCAACTCGACGAGTTCCAATGGAAACTTGGCTTTAAAATACTAAATCTCATACTTGGCAATCGGGATGTTACACAACCCTAGGAAGAAACTCATGTTGAACTTATTGACTAGTCGTTATCTCTTTGGTATTCCACTCGAGGTAGAATGACACAAGATTTTGATGGTTTCCATATAACTACGGATGGTAATACGTTTATCAGTGATAGTACATTGGTACATTTGGATGAACCGTCTAACTACAAAGTAGCCATGGTAGGCCCTAAGTGTGACAACCATCAATTTCTGTTCAAGTCAAAGTCAAACAAAGTCAACAAGTCAAACCGGTCAATCTAGCTAACCCTCGTATATTAGGGTTTACATTATGTTCAAACGTTGTACAGCTCGCTACATTAATACAAAGTATCACTTAGAAATGTCATGTGTTCAAGAATTCAAAACCCTAATCGGGTTAAGTGACGTAGAAAAACGATAAAACAATATTGCATTCCCTTTGGGGGTGTGTAAGACTCTTAAACGTGGCTTAACGAGGTGTACGAACCTTGAGTTGCGAAGCTAAACACTCAAAAAGGTCAAAAACGTAGTCTCTCTCAACCTCTTTCACTCTATCTCTCTCTGTATCTAAAATCTCTCCCAAATCTCTCTCAAAATCTTTTTTAATTTTTTAGAATCATTCGAGTCATCCCGACACTTAACTTGGTGAAAAACCGCTCGAAACGGGAAGTTCTTATGAAAAACAGCCTTATAGGACCGAAGTTCCTCCTAGAACCGAAGCCTTCCCTATTAGAACCGAACTCTGTTGAACCGAAACCTGCTGGACCGAACTGTTCAAGGACCGAAGTTGTATTGGACCAAACCCGAACCTCCTTTCAACCCATTTCGCTTTCGGGTTCAATTTTTTCATTTTTAGAAATTATTTTTTACATTTCGTTCCGAATGATAAATGAAAATCAGAATTCATATAACTCAAACACATGTGTCAATGTTTTTGAGTTAATTTTTTAATTTTTTTTAATTTTATTCATTTTCAAGTTATATGGTTTTCAGTTAGCCATTATAAAACTTAAAACCCGTTTTTGAAATTTCGGCTAGCATATATATTAATCCTATTAAAAAAAATAACTTTCTACCTAATCTATATTGATAATATCCACATTTAATGAACTATTTTACATTTTTTACAAAAACATATTTTTAAAAAAATATAAACAAATAAAACATCAAATAAAAATTAAAATGTATTCAAATAACATGTCAAAAAACTAGAAAAAAATATTCAAAAAATATAAACAAACAAAATATAAAAAAACATTAAATAATACATTTGAAAAATGTCAAATAAAATCTAAATAATAAAAAATAAAAATAAATAATATATATATATATATATATATATATATATATATATGAAAAACAAAAATATATAAGTAATGATAAAATGGTTTTTTAAATGGACTAATGATGTGGAGTGCAAGTTTTTTAAATCATAGGGATGCATTTTATCAAATTTTGAAAGATTAGATTGAAAGTGTGAATCCAAAACTATAACTTTACTCTATAATAACTAAACAAATTATATATATATATATATATATATATATATATATATATATATATATATATATATATATATATATATATATATATATATATATATATATATATATATGGGAAAAGTGAATATACCCTTAAGGATATATAAGCTTAGGTACTTAAACTTACCATAATACGTCATTTTCTTATATATATATTTATTATAATGTTCTTAAACTTCAACCTTAACTTGATTTACTTTCAAGATATTCAAAATTTCACTATTATCTTTCTCGTAAATCACATATTTTTGCCAAACATCTACTAGGAAATATATATTGTAGTTGAAAATGAAAATTATGTAAGAGGAAGATAAATATTTAATTTACCAAAATCTTGGAAGTACATCAAGTTAGAAGTTAAATTATAAGAACATTGGACAATTAGAATGTTTTATATGATATAAAACGACTTAGTATGGTGACTTTGGGTACCTAAGCTTATATACACTTAAGGGTATATTCATTTTTCCATATATATATATATATATATATATATATATATATATATATATATATATATATATATATATATATATATATATGGAAAAGTGAATATATCCTTAAGGGTATATAAGCTTAAGTACCCAAACTCACTATACTATGTCGTTTTATATTATATAATACATTCTAATTGTTCGGTATTCTTATAATTTAATTTTTAACTTGATTTACTTCCAATATTTTTATAAATTACCTATTTATTTTCTTGTTACATAATTTTCACTTTCAACTACAATATATATAGCCGAATAAGTGTTCGTCTATATATATTGTAGTTGAAAGTGAAAATTATGTAACAAGAAAATAAATAGATAATTTATAAAAATATTGGAAGTAAATAAAATTAAAAGTTAAATTATAAGAATACCTAACAATTAGAATGTATTATATAATATAAAATGATACGTAGTATAGTGAGTTTGGGTACCTAACATTATTTTAACCTAAACAGTCCCCACAGGATAATTTTATTGCACATTTAGTCCCTACCATACATACAAAGACTACTTTGCCCTCCATTATTTATTTTTATAATTAATTTATTATTTATTTAAACAATAAAATAAATTAAAATAAAACCCACGCTACCCCTTCCCCCATCCTTATGTTCAGTACCTCCGGCAACCACGACAACTAACCATTCGTATAATTTACCCTATTAATTATAATGGTCCACTGCAATTTCAAATGTGAAATGTTTGTGATATAACCATCACTTCCGACAGTCAACATCGATCCCTTCCCCCAATAGGCCACCGCAATTGTCTTCTCTACCTAGGAAAGAAATCAACTTCTTGAGTTATATCAAACCCATAAAAATAAACTATCGAACAAATCTCATAAATATATCAAAATTGCAACATAATACAACAGGAATGCAAGTGAACTTAAAGATGATTTCAAACTTCTAAACAACATGAAACTAAAAAAACAATTGAACTAACTAATAAAACTCAAACAAACCTGCAACATATTGCTAACAAAGAATAAAGTATAGAATTAGGGCAAAGTGCTATTTCATTCTCATATTTTATCGGAGGTAACTATTAAATCTAAAAAAACAAAACCACATGGCAGCAAAATCAAACCCCAAAATTGTCATGACACAATACTCATGTACATGGAAGATCCCACCATCAGACTTCGTTAAAGTTAGTGGAAGAATACACCAAAGCAATGGCTGAATTCATTGCAGAAGGTGGTAGTGATGGTTGAAAACATTACAGAAGCATATCGAAGTTATGGTATTGATTAAAGTTTGATTTCAACCCCATTTTTGGTGGTAATCAAAGATTAGGGTCCGAGAATAAAAGAGTGAGGGGGGAGAGTAGAAGGAGTTGGAGAGGATATAAGAAGTCATATAAACGTGAACATGAATAAAAATGGGAAAACTTACACCTTATTCTTGAGTTTTTTTAATAAAAGGAAGGGGATGGAAGGAGAGGGAGGAAAATGGAAGGAAAATACAAATAATTAATCGATTCTCGAGTTGGAGGGGAATGGAATGGAAAGGTGGGATATAAGCTTTTTTTTGTCTTCTCATCCTAACCCTCCCAAAAGTAGGCTGATAAAAAATACACATGTCTTGCTTCCCCTCTCATTTTATCTCTTAAAAAAACTCAAGAACATATTTTCCCTTTAAATTACTTCGCTTCCTTCCATTTCACTCCCTAAATAAACTCAAGAACAAGGTGTTAAAGGTAGTCTTTTTAACCCGACCATGGATCAAATCCGAAGCAAAAACAAAATACAAGGATGGTCCGAGTTAGAAAAATAAAAATTAGGGACTATGTATACAGATTATTATGTATACAGATTATTCCAAACCAAAAGGATCATTCACGTAATTTTGATACGAATTGAAAGAATAGGGACAAAAGATAAAAGATTGTCCTAAACCTTAGGACTATTCTGTAATTTATCCTTATATAACATGAGCTTAAGTGTACTAAAAAACAAAAGCATATCAATGAAGTCAAACATATGATTGAGATATTTTGTGCGTCATATTTTCTCCCTGTTCTACTAGTATTTTGGTCAAGTTTTGTGGTTGAAGTATCAAACAGCCACCATGTGTGGAAATTCTGAAAAATCATTAAACACACCTTATGGTCATTCAAAAATATTTGGTCATCGAATCTTAACGTTGAAAAGTCGAAAGAGCCACCATGTGTGGATATTGAGAAGTCATTATATATTTATATGTTATTATGTTAGGTACAATTTTTTTTTTGTCCTACGAAAATGAAACATTTTATTTAGATTTACGCCCAAATTTATCTATTTACATATTTGAAATGGTTATAAGATACTCGTAAAAATCAACTGTTCTTCATATGTTTATTTAATAAGTCAAAAGCTCTTATCAAAACACGTAAAGTTAAATTCTTTGTTATTTTTTAAACGAATCAAACATATTTAACTAACATATTAGAAGTATTATAATATTATTGAAATCTGGATATCTTTTTCTAACACATACAACTTGGACTGGCAACCCAAAATTTCAAACTTGTTAGTCAATAAAACGTATCCATTTCTTCAATTCTTTTATCTATAAATATCACCCCAAAGGTTTTCCATTTTTGTACATAAACCACAACCAAACATTACTCGCTCCCCTAATCTCATTATACAAAGATTTTGCAATGGCTATAGCTATTAAGTGCCAAAATCTTATAACCCTTCTCGTGTTACTCAACTTGGCATTCTTGATGAATGCTCGACCTTTAAATATTCTAAATACTGTTATTTGTCCAGATGAAAATGATCAGTTGTTTGATCGGTTTTTTTTGGGTTCCATTAAAGAAGGACCAAGTCCTGGCATAGGGCACAAGGTCGAAGATAAGGCAACTCTTGGAGGAATCAAGGTCGGACCTAGTCTTGGAGCAAAAGACAGATATACACATGAACCTAGCCATATAATTGAAAATGTGTTCAACATTGAGACTTTGGTTGGAGTCAAAGATGGACCAAGTCCAGGAATTGGACACAAGGTTGTAAATGTTGAATCGCTTGGAAATCTTAAGAACTCTGGTCCAAGCCCTGGTGCGGGTCACTAGTGCAACTGACTGTTTAGAAACATTTATGATTTTTTTATACAAACAACATATATAAAATTTCTTTTTAATACAGTCAAAATACACACTCTATAGATAGCAAGCCTCAATTCATAGTCATTGATTAAAAGAAACCCTATTGTTAGTATCAATATAGTTGAAAGATTTTATTTTAATCATTGTATTTAAAAATTTTATTTGTTCAATTGTGGTACTTTAAGTTTATTGTGTAATAATTCCAATATTAATTAGTACTTCTTCGTTCTCCTACAAATTGTAGTACCTCTTATGTAAACTTATATGAATTGTTAAAATTTATGGAATTGGGTTCAAGTTCACTCTTTTGATATAACTCTATTCATTTTTTCTCTTTCACTACCCTTGCTTATACTAAGCTAAGACATGTTGGTCATTCATTTTCTCTTTCACTCGCATCACACACTTTTGATTCCTCTGTCTCTCGCATACATGTCTAGTTTCATTCCCACTATCATGCAATTTAAGGTCTAGATTTTAGTAAAACCGAATCGAGTCGAAACCGAAAAAACAAAAACTGAATTTACGGATATGGAGAAACCGAATTACATATCCGGTTCCTAATCGGGTTTGATTTGGTTCGACTCATGGTCTCGTCTTATAATATCTAAGGAGCTAAATTTTTTTATACAAATTAAACCGCTTCAATTCCCTGACAATCACACCAAAAAAATCGATGCAATTCGGTTTGGTTCCAACGGGTGTTTTGCTCACCTCTAATTTAAAACCCCTTTTGAATTAAAAACTTTTAAATAAATTAACAAGCTCTAACTTCCAAACAAATTTTTTTAATTCAGTCTTTTTCAAATAAAAGTTAAAAACTCTTAAAATTGGGCACCTATATCATAAATCATAACATAACTAATGTAATCTTTTGAAACTTAAAAATGGTACACATTTAAATTTCGGAAGTTACCACAAAATTTCATATACTTCAAAGACTATTATCGATTTCAAATTATTCCACTTCAAAAAAAAAAAAAAAAAAATCATATTATATACATATACATAATTTAATAAAGTCTTTAAAATTAATTTTTTTGATAACATAAAGTTAGAAAAGCTGCAGAACAAACTAATATTAAACAGAACACTCAACGCCCGACGACCACAAAACACTCAAAAAAAGAGCGGGCGAAAGCCAAGCCTTCGATCCAAAACTCCCAAAAACCTTCACAAATCATGGGGAGTTCCAAGGACGATTCCGCCACCGACGGCGACAAATCCACCGGTAATCGCCGCCGTCCCGAATCCAATTCCAACCTCTTCTCCGACGGAGAGAAAGTCCTCGCTTTTCACGGCCCTCGTATATACGAAGCTAAGGCATGTTCTTATTCATTTTCTCCTTCACTCTCATCGAATACTCTTGATTTCTCTATCTCTCTCGCATAAACACCCGGTTTTGGTTTTACTATCATGCAAATTGCAGTTTTAAGTCTGGATCTTAAATGACAGGTAATTTGGGGGTAAACACGAGGAAAAATAAAACAGGAATATATATTTTTTTTTGGATAAAATCAATTATGTGTGTTTACTTTACTCTCGCATTACTGAATTCAATACTAGGGCTCACAATTCACAAATGCAAAATAGAAAACGAAAACAATAATTGTTTTTGCATCAACCAGATTGATTAGGTTTTCGTTACGTGTGTTTGCTCTCACATTAGCAAACCGAATACTAGGGTTCCCAATCTGAAATGCAAAATAGAGAAAACGAAAGAAGCTATTCTCTGTGTTCTTCCCTTTGAAATTTGTGAAGCTCAGGGATGTATGCAATTGTGAAGGGTGAACTTGGCATGGGGTCATTCCACCACTTAAACAAACTCTTATCTTCGTAAAGCCTTTACTAAAAGGGGTCAATAACTACCAATGGAATTTTCATTGTTATTTGATAGTAAAATGTTAACTATTAGCCTTATCCTCATCAATTGCATGTTGCAAAATCAGGGTAATTGTAGCATTATTGCTATTGTTAATGTTTTCTTCTTTCATCTTGAAGGTTCAAAAGGCTGAGATACGAAAGAATGAGTGGAAATACTTTGTGCATTACCTTGTAAGTTTGATACACAATCTTTTTAGATCAATTTCTTTTCATATTACCACATTAAGTAATGAATTACTTTCTTTCTGGTTTCAGGGTTGGAATAAAAAGTGAGTAAGCTTTTCCATATCTATATTATTTTGAATAGTGTGTATAAACTATAAAGTTTGTCTTTTTAACATTCATAAAGCTCCAATATCTTGATTACAGTTGGGATGAATGGGTTGGAGTTGACAGATTAATGAAGTACACAGAAGAAAACATTTTAAAGCAACAAGCACTTGACAAAAAACAAGGTGTTGACAAAAACTCAAAAGGAAGATCAACTCAAACTAAGCCCAAAATATCAAATGGTAAGTAATTTGACTATTTTACCCCCTCTTAACTATCTATTTTTATCTGCTATGAATAACAATGAACAAATTATATGTTTTTTGGATCTTTCAGATGTAAAGGTGGAAAAAGAGGATGTGAAGAGCAGTGGTATATTACTATATTACTATATTTATATTCTTTGAACTAAAATAAATAATTTATTTTTACATATATTGAGAATTTTTAACTATCTATTTTTGTGTTACTTACTCAGGGGCAAAAGGGAAAAAGAGGAAGAGTGATTCGAGTATAGAGGTATGTTTATGTTTATATTTATGTTTATGTTCAAATATCTGATATTAGATTTATAAAAGTTTCGTTCCCAAAATAACCCTATGCATATGGTGTTAGAAAGAGAATGCATCTGTTGAAAAGCCTGTAAAGATTCAAATTCCATCAGCTCTAAAAAAACAACTCGTGGATGATTGGGAATTTGTTAATCATCAAGATAAGGTATTAAACTATTAATTAATATTATTATTATTTTTGCTTTATACAAATTGTTGAATTATTAATTTTTTTTTTTAGCTTGTTAAACTTCCACGATCTCCAAATGTTGATGACATTTTGGCAAAGTATCTTGAATACAGGTCAAAGAAAGATGGGATGTAAGTCAACAAGTGTTTATTTATTTTAATTTTTTTTTTAATCCTATGAAAAATATTATAATTCTAAATTCTAAAAAATGAAATATTAATTAATTTTGATGAATTCAGGATGACAGATGCAGTTGGAGAGATTCTGAAAGGATTAAGATGTTATTTTGATAGAGCTTTACCAGTTATTCTTTTATATAATAAAGAACGCAAACAATTTCAAGAATTAATTACTGATAATAATAATAATAATATTTCTCCTTCAACAATTTATGGAGCTGAACATCTTCTACGTCTTTTTGGTATTTTCTTTTTCTAATTATGTTTCTTTATTTGATTTTCATTTTTGAGTAAATTACACGAATGGTCCCTATGGTTTAGGGTAATTTGCGTGTTTGGTCCCTAACTTATTTTTTTTAACTCGGAAGGTCCCTACTGTTTGTTTTTGTTACGCGTTTGGTCCCTGTCTTACCTAAAAAGACTATTATTCAAATAAGGAAAAATGATGGGATAGGTAAGGTGAGGGGGTGGGGTGGGGGTGTGTATTTAAATAAACTAAAAAATCAAGGGCAAAATAGTCTTTTTAGGTAAGATATGGACCAAACGCATAAAAAACAATTCGTAAGGACCTCCCGAGTTAAAAAAAATAAGTTAGGGACGAAACATGCAAATTACCCTAAACCATAGGGACCATTTGTGTAATTTACTGATAATTTTTCTTTTTCTTTTTGTTTTTCAGTTAAATTGCCAGAGTTATTGCCATACGTGAACATAGAAGAAGATCTTGCCATGCGTTTGCAACAAAAATTTCTCGATTTTCTCAAGTATGTATTTTTATTTTTATTTTTATGTTTTGTTTATTATAATAATAATAAAAATTCCATTTTAAAAAAGTTGAGACTATATTTTTATTATTTTGTGTTGTGTTGTTGTAGGTTTATGCAAAAGAATCAAAGCTCTTTCTTTATTTCTTCGTATGATGGGATGAAGGTTTCTGACAGGGGCAAAATGGTCCAGGAGTAACATTAGTTGTTGCCATTTTTAACAAAAATATTTTGGTGTTGTAACATAATCTCAATTCTTTTTTTTTATTAGTTGACAAATTTGTATAAATCAAGATTCAAGAATCAATCCTGGTTCAAATTAGCTAAAAGTGTTGTAGAATTAGTATTTTCTCATCTAGTAGTGTAGAACATTTCTGATTTTTATAACTTGAAAATTGCTAAAATTCATGATTGTTATTATTATTATTGCCTCTTTTCTTGCAATGTATTTGAAAATTATTAGTTGATTAAAATGATGTTTGGTAAAAATTAGTTGAAATATATAAAATGATATTTAGGATAATGAATTTTTTATAATTCTTTAAGCTATAAAAAATCTATTAAGACTTCAACCTTTTTCCTCTTAGCTTCTTTCTGTGTTAAAATTGATAAATATTATGAAATTTGTTTTTTTTGGGAATGGAATGTTAAAATGGTCATTTAAGGGCTGTTTGTTTGATAGTTGCTAATTGAATGTTAAAACTAGTTTTCTATCAAACCTAAAGGCTATAGGACCCAACTAGGGATTTCTTATAAAAAACAATCTCAATCTTATTGAGTCACATCTGACCTCTTATCAATTTTTTACAGTTTATTCCATCAAAAATCAAATCGAACCTTATATATAAACACTATTCAATCCAGGTAATAAAAAAGAGAAATTAAATATCCTCTTATATTATATTCATACTCATCATCCTACCATATTAAATATTGACACGTGAATTAAAACAGGGTATAAGTTATTTTTGGTTATTAACTTTTGGTTTTGTATTCATTTGGTCATTTAATTCTTTTTAAGTTTTAAAAGGTTATCAAACTTTTGATTGTGTTTATTTAATCACTTAATTTTTTTTTGGTCACTTAACTTTTAGATTTATGCTCATTTAGTCAACTAACTTTTATAATT